GGAAGGGAAAAGAAAAGAACAAAAGAAAAGAAAAGAAATGGTAGGTAGGCAGATCTCTGCCATTTTTCAGGCACTGCTGAAGTAGCAGTGACCAGCACAAAGTTTGATCCCCTATGACTTCTGACCAAAGCAAAAACCATAAAGAGTGTTTCAGTTCCCCCTCCCACACTTGCAACAACTTCTTCCTTTCTTCCCAGACAGTCAAGGCAAAGCTACAATGCTCCATCTATGCCAGCTAGAAAGGGTGCGGTTCAGGCTGTGAGAGAATACCCTAAAGGTGGGCACACTGGCAAAGTTATCTGGATTCACAAAAAGGAATGTCACCTACATCTAGCAGGTGCAGGGGAAGAAGACTAAGGCACAAACATCACCCCAGCAAGGTGGCTATCACTGAACTCAAACTAGACAAAGGCTACATAAAGATCCTTAAACAGAAAACCAAATTTGGTCAGCCAGGAAAGGAAAAGGGCAAACACAAAGAAAAAACAAATGAGAAGATATAGGAACAAAGTAATCTTATATACAATCTTTATTAAAAACTGCTGAGGACTGAGGATATAGCCCAGTGGTAGAGCAACTGCCTAGCATATGTGAGGCCCTGGGTTCAATCCTCAGCACCACAAAAAAAAAAAATCTAAAATGTAAAAGCAAGTGAGAGAGAATGCTAGAAATTAACATAGAAATGATATGAACCCTAAACAGTGTGGAGGGCCAGAAGGACAACCTGAGAAACCTAGAGAAAAGAAAAAGCAATTAGCAACTTCAACTCCTGCTCCTGACCTGGGGTGAAGAACGCGGCACGGCAAGGAAAACGTAAGTGGGCAAGTGCCGGCAATCCTGATCACAGCAGCAGGACAGCGGGACAGCAGTTCTAACTGCAAAATGCCAGTCTTAAATCCAGCGTGGGGGCCTGGCTAGTCTAAGAGCAACACCTGTGCCCTAAAGAAGGACCCTGCTTTGGGTCTCCTCCAACTGCCAGAACACAAGCTCCTAGGTCCATATTACCTTAGGGGCCAGCAGCCAGCCCCCGGACACCATTAGAAGCTTGGGCTAGTGCACGCTTCACTGGGCAGGAAACAGCCCCCACTTACTTTCTGGAGCTTCAAGACAACCCGCTGCCATAGCCACAGCCTGAATTCCACCCACACTGGACCCACAGGAACTAAGGATGTTCTCTTCCCCAGCCTCCAGCCTTAGCACTGTAGCTGCTGGCGTAAAATCCTTGGCATCACCCAAGCTTATCCCTGTTCTGCAGCTCCAATACTGTAGCTACCAACACAGTAAGCGTTATCTACAATAAAGACTGCCCATATGACCTAGGGATCTCCCCACCCAGGTGCTTCAGCTCCAGGACCACGGATTCTAAAACCTCAAGCCCTAGTACCTGCTCAACTCAGGGCGCCTGCAAAAGGACTCGCACACATGCTACAGCTCCAGAGTATGGGTACAAGCCCCAAACCCAAACATTACCTGCACATGCCCCAGAACATCCAGGGACATGGCCCACAGACTTGGGACCACAGCTGCCAGTGCAAAAAGCCTTGGCATGGCTTCTGTGCTGTCCTCTGGAACCTGTGAAGGGTGTCATTTGGGTCTCACACTTCCAGAAAAGTAGCTAACAGTACTACAAGCCCCATTATCAACACTATTAGCCCCAAAAGAGTTAGCAAAGTCCCTTTTCTGTTTCAAAACATCAAGACCACGGATACAGGTGCCACTGATCCAAATATCACCTGTACTTATCCTATAGGACCTGGAAAAGGCCCCATCTCATCCTACATATCTAGAACTATGGCTATTTTGCCACAGACCCAGGAACTTCCCACATTCCCACTGAGTCCTGAGGAAGGTCTTCCTCAGATTCTGTGGCTCTGGAACCATGTCTGCTGGTGCCACAATGCTTAGTGTTCCTTGTACTTGTTCTGAGGGACCTGGGGACTATCCTATTCACAGTCTACCCCACCCAGACTATGGGAGTTTCAAGCCCCAGTGCCATCAGAGCTCACCTCTGTACAGTCTAAAGACACTCACCTTCAGAAACATCGCCCACTACAAAGTCACACAACTACCTCCATAAGCGCTACAGTCTAGACTAGCAAGGGACTCGTGGACACTGCTGACACAAATCTAACACAAAATTACACAGAAACTATGATTTTGACCTGGTCATGGCCAAAGCCAACTGACGTCCTATATCCTATGTAAATGAAAAAAAATATTTTCTTACAAAAGGTACTTCACAAAATTGGAAGAGGGGAACATTATACCAGATGCACAAACATCAAGATAAAGACATAATAAGATTGAAAAAAAATGAGACTTGCCAAGGAAAACAATAATTCCCCAGAAA